TAAGACTTACAAACGTAATTTGATTATCACTCAGTTTTTGCATATATTGGATAAACTTTTCCCAATCTTCTGTAAATCTTTGATCTCGTCGATTCTGGATCCTTCCTGTCATTCTATCCAGTTCTGCATAGTCCATCATTTTGGTTCTCCATTCTTCTATCGTAGGTAGCTCCTCCTGTTTCCATTTCTGGGCCATCAATATTCTTGCTGCTGTCACTGCATATAAAAATAGCTTCTTTTCTTTCTTATTTATCTCATTACCTGTAATGCCTAGTAAAAATGCTCCTGGTTTCTTAGCAAATGTATATTTCAACATTTTCTTCAATTCATTATAAATCATCTCCCAAAAGCATTTTACCTTCTTACATTCCCACCACATATGAAAAAGGTACCTTCTTTTTCTTTACATTTCCAACATTTGTTACTTGTCTTATACATTTTTGCTAGCTTCACAGGTGTTACATACCATCGGTACATCATTTTCATAACATTTTCTTTTATAACTGTACATGCAGTGAATCTTAAACCTTCTTTCCAGAGTCTTTCCCAATCCTCCATTTGTATATTATGCCCTATATCTTTGGCCCAGTCAATCATAACTGATTTTACCTCCTCATCCTTCGTACACCATTCCAGTAATATCTTATACATTTTTGCTAAAATCTTATAATCATTGTTCAATATTTGTGAGGTGATGGGGAATTTAAAGGGCTCAGTGCAAGATGGCAACTGGGTGGGGCCCCCTCCCTCAGCAGAAAAAGCCAGGGTTGAGACCTCGAAGTAAAGCAGCAAGCTGGAGGGAGTCAGTGCAATGTTAGATTTCTGCTTGAATCAAAGGCTGTAGCTATGGGAGATACAAGATCCTTTGGGGTGATAATATCATTGTAGGCTCAGATTGCATATATGTGTGTAAATACACCATATGTTCTAAAGACACCACGGTCTCTGCTGTGCCTCATTTCCAAAATGAAACATGAACCCCTGGAGTCTCACACAGCTCAGAGATTTGGCTGGTGTGCAACAATAAATAAAACATTAACAAGCACACAACCAAATTAAAACAATTTCCACAGAAATCATAACATCTAAAATAAATATGCAAAAAATTGAATACCAATAACAGCCGGGGTGGAGGAAGGGGGTACGGTGGGGGCAGTCTGTCCCAGGTGTCACCACTGGGGGCGGGACAAAATGCTGGCCGGCACTCACCGTGGGGCCTGCAGCGCGCCTGAGTCACGCATCTCTCCTGGGAGAGACGCAGTGGCTTGGGCGCATGCAGGCTCTGCACTGCCCCAAACAGTCCGCCTGAAGAGTTTGGATTTGATATCCCGCTTTATCACTACCTGAAGGAGTCTCAAAGCGGCTAACATTCTCCTTTCCCTTCGTCCCCCACAACAAACACTCTGTGAGGTGAGTGGGGCTGAGAGACTTCAGAGAAGTGTGACTGGCCCAAGGTCACCCAGCAGCTGCATGTGGAGGAGCGGGGAAGCAAACCCGGTTCTCCAGATTACGAGACTACCGCTCTTAACCACTACACCACACTGGCTCTACCACCTCCCCCTCAGTTGTAGGGCGGCTGAGTGGGAGGAGGCAGGCAGACTCCTCAGAGGCCCCGCAGAGTGTCCTGCCCCAGCTGGCCCCACCCCCACAGGCGACTGGCCCCGCCCCTGGACGCAGGCATGCACGCCGCCCCAGGCGCCCGATCGGCTTGCTCCGCTGCTGATAACAGCAACAACACCCCCCCCACAACAATACCCCAGCCCAGTAGTCTGTGATCAGCAGCCTTAGCTTTTGTAGCTTGAATCCGTGAGGGCCCCACCCTCCCAGGCCAGGTGGAAAAGGCTTGCAAGGTAGGAAACAGGTCTTCCAGACTCACAGGCGAGCTGGTCAGCTGAGATAGCACCAGCTCTTAAGCAGCAGTGTAGCTAGCCGCTTGGGTGCCGGGTGTGGGGGCGTGTCCTGCAGCTGGGGGCGGGGCAATCTGCCCATGGGAGATGGGCGAGCCTCTCTGATACTTGGAGGCTCTCTGCTGCCTCCCCCTCAGCTGTAGGGCAGCAGAGGGAGAGGCGGTGGGGAGAGGCAAGTCCCACACTGCGTGGAACCTGCAGGCGCTTAAGCCACCACGTCACTCCTAAAAAGTTTTGTGAGCCCATTTTTTAAAAAACTCATTTTGTCACACACACACACACACACACACACACAGATGACACCCGGGGCAGACCGCACTCCCCGCACCCCCCTTCCTCCACCACTGCTCTTAAGGTAGCTGAGGCTAAGAGACAGGGACTGGTCCCAATGGTCATCCAGCAAGCTTTATGGCTGAATGGGGATTTGAACATGGGCCTCGCTACTCCTAGTCCAACACTCTAACCATTGTATCACACTGTTTAGGGCTTTATAGATGAAAACCAGCACTCCAGATTGTTCTTGAAAGCAGAATAGGTGCTAGTGGAGATGCTGTAATATTGGTCCTATGGAGCTGCCATATTCTGAAGCAGTTCAAGTTTTGGTATGTTCTTCAAAAGGTAGCGAAATAGCTTAGTTTAATTAATTATTTGAGCTACACCCAAAAATTGTTAACAGAATTTCTGAGCACAGTAGTACCTCTAGATACGAATGGGATCCGTTCCGGAGCCCCGTTCGCATCTAGAAGCAAGCGTACCTAGCGACGGCACACCTGCGCACGCACGCGTCGCTTTTTGCTGCTTCTGCGCATGCGTGTGACGTCATTTTGAGCATCTGTGCATGCGCAAGCGGTGAAGCCTGGAAGTAATGCGCTCCGTTACTTCCGGGTTGCCGCGGAGCACAACTCGAACGCACTCAACTCGAAGCGTATTCAACCCGAGTTATGACTGTAAACTGAAGGCGGATTAAGTTCATTTTGGGAACGGAACTTTGAACAATCTCGAGTTCCTCATCAAGTTCATTCTCTGTGCGTAGTGGTTGTTTACTCCTTAGACTCTTTGGGTCTTTAAGCAATTCACATCCTGCTATGTGTGTGTTGATGTTTTCTTAGCTTTCTTAAGTATATTTTATACTTCAGCACAGCAGCTTGGGGGGGGGGGGGGATGGCTGAGGATCATTTGGATGAACCTAGACTGTGAACTGAACTAATTCATTCTGCAAAGGGACAAATGTGAACTGGAATTAGTTTCTCTTTGGACATGTTGAATTAAAACTAGTTCTTATTTAAAAGGAACTTTAACACACTACAAAATAATGCAGTCTGGGTGTCATCAGAGTCCAGACTCTCTCTTTTCTAGATGAGCCACAGCTAGTAACATCAATGTAAACTGAGAAAAGACCTTTCGATCCTAGCTTCCGCCTGCATGCCCATATTTGGTTTCAAAACAATAAAAATAATAAACACCCCAAGCTGCAAACCTGATGCTTCGAGGACAAATCTCTCTCCGCAGCAGGAAGAACACCATATCTCTGAACCACCCCCGTGTTTTCTGGATTAGATTTCAGCTGATAAGCCTACAATGACAGCCTCCTTAATGGAAAATACCACATCTGTTAATGCTGTTATCAGATCTGTTATGATGTCAAAATATGATTTTCTTCAAGGAGTGTCACGATGACTTTTCTTGATCCATTGGCTTAATAGTTCTGATGGTATAAAGAGATGCAGCCTTGAGCCATGCAAAAGCTATGCTTGGAGGGAATACGTGGCATTATAATTCTTTTCTTAAAAAGAGGTGTTGGAAGCAGGGGGGGTTTTCAACCGGAAAAAAACTCAGCTCCACCACTTCTCAGGTGGGTGCCGTTGCCATTACAGTGGTACCTCGGGTTAAGAACTTAATTCGTTCTGGAGGTCCATTCTTTCTTTTCTTTTTTTTTAATGATATTTATTGAAGTTTCACATGAAAAGAGACATCTTAATAAAAAAAAAAGAAATTTGAAAATAAAAAGAGAAATACACCATACAAAATACAAAAAGAAAGAAAGAAAAAACAGTTAAAAACAATTCCGTCTTTTCATCATAACTTTTACATTTACTTATTTCCCAGACCTCCTCATACCTCCCTCTTTTGTATTCCAATTCAATTTGTTTGTCCAGCAATTCCTTTCCCTCCATTTTAATCCCAATCCTTAATCTTAATATAATATAACATTAAATTTTGACCTATTAAAAGCCAATTTTCCATTTCTTTTAACTTTTTTAATCCTAATCCTTAATCTTGATCTATATATAACTTTAAAGCCTGTACAGCTAGAAGCCACTTAATTTCAATCCAACATCACTCTAACATTCTTTAATTTTGCAATATTTCTGTAAGTAATCTTTGAATTTCTTCCAATCTTCTTCCACCGACTCTTCTCCCTGGTCACGGATTCTGCCAGTCATTTCCGCCAATTCCATTCTTAACCTGAAACTGTTCTTAACCTGAAGCACCACTTTAGCTAATGGGGCCTCCTGCTGCCGCTGCGCTGCCAGAGCACAATTTCTGTTCTCATCCTGAAGCAAAGTTCTTAACCCGAGGTACTATTTCTGGGTTAGCAGAGTCTGTAACCTGAAGCATCTGTAACCCGAGGTACCACTGTATAAGGGAACAAGGGAGGTTTTCATGGTGAGTTCCGCACCTCTTTTCCTAGAAAAATAGCACTGATTAGAACTTACATCATGAGTAGGCAACCTAAGGCCTGCGGGCTGGATCCGGCCCAATCGCCTTCTAAATCCGGTCCACGGATGGTCCGGGAATCAGCGTGTTTTTACATGAGTAGAATGTGTCCTTTTATTTAAAATGCATCTCTGGGTTATTTGTGGGGCATAGGAATTACCGTATTTTTCGCCCCATAGGACGCACCGCCCCATAGGACGCACCTAGATTTTTGGGGGGGGGAATAAAGAAAAAAATTTTTATTTCCCCCCCAGGCATGGAGCTGGCGCGGGGGAAGCCTGAGCTTCCCCTGACCCCAGCCCCCAGAACAGCCTGCTCTCCGCAAGCCTAGGGAGCTGCGCCGGTCTCCCCAGGCTTACAGAGAGCTGCGCCAAACCCGGGCGCACTCTTCAGTGTGCCCCAGGCTTCGGAATGCAGGCAGCTCCCGAGGGTCGCGCGGAGCTGCCTGCATTCCGAAGCCTGGGGCGCGCTGAAGAGGGTTGTGTGGAGCTGCGCCGAGCCGGGGAATCCAGGCAGCTCCGCACAACCCTCCGGAGCCCGGCGCGGCTTCGCGCTGGGCTCCCTAGGGTTGCGCTGAGCTTCCTGAAGCCTGGAGAGCGAGAGGGGTCGGTGCGCACCGACCCTCTCACTCTCCAGGCTTCAGCGAAAGCCTGTATTCGCCCCATAGGACGTACACACATTTCCCCTTCATTTTTGGAGGGGAAAAAGTGTGTCCTATAGGGCGAAAAATACGGTAGTTCATTCCCCCCCCCCCACATATAGTCCGTCCCCCCACAAGGTCTGAGGGATAGTAGACCGGCTCCTGCTGAAAATGTTTGCTGACCCCTGACTTACATTCTAAGCTTCATGAGTGCAATTTATACACAAGGTTTAGACATAGGAATATGCCTTACGCTGCATCAGACCACTGATCCAACTTAGCACTGACTACATTGACTCACTGGCGGAGGAAGAGGAGTGGGGGGGGGAGCGCACCGTCCCCGGCGGTGCAATCCTGGTGGGGTTCCATCACGGATGTCCCCCCGCCTGCGCTGGGCGCCCTGCCCCTGCAGGCGGCATGCCCCGCACCAGGATGCACGCCCCACCCCTTTGGGCAGCGTGCATGCCCCGCCCCTGGGGTGCGCGCCAGCCCCCCTCCGCCTGCTCTCTGCGCCCCCCCCCCGGTGCTGGAGCATAAAGCTCTGCCACTGCATTGACTGGCAGCAACTCTCCAGGATGTCAAGCAAGGAACTCTTCCAGCCCTACCTGCAAATTCTAGGAATTCAACCTGGAACCTTCTGTTTGTAAGGCAGGTGCTCTACCACTTGAACAAACTGATTATGTACTCTCGAATACTGAGCATTACTTGTAAAAAAGAAGCTTCTGTGAATGTGCAGTTTTGGAGAATTTTGTTTGCAGATTATGTCCAACAGGCTGCACATGGGCAGGGGTTGCCCTTGGCCCTGAGCCCTCACTTTCCTAAAGGTAAAGGTAAAGGGACCCCTGACCATTAGGTCCAGTCGTGACCGACTCTGGGGTTGCGGCGCTCATCTCGCTTTATTGGCCGAGGGAGCCGGCGTACAGCTTCCGGGTCTTGTGGCCAGCATGACTAAGCCGCTTCTGGCGAACCAGAGCAGCGCACGGAAACGCCGTCTACCTTCCCGCCAGAGTGGTACCTATTTATCTACTTGCACTTTGAGGTCCTTTCGAACTGCTAGGTTGGCCGGAGCAGGGACTGAGCAACGGGAGTTCACCTCGTCATCTCGGGGATTCGAACGGCTGACCTTCTGATCAGCAAGTCCTAGGCTCTGTGGTTTAACCCACAGCGCCACCTGCGTCCCATCTCATTTTCCTAACCACCTCCTGAAAACACAATTTAGCTTTGTGGTGGCAAAAGCAGTCGGTGTAAAACACGAGAAGTTGCTTGGTCCATTTAACTCTGCATTGTTTACTAGCAGCTGATCTCCAAGGTGTCAGGCAAGGGGTCTCTCCCAGCCCTTTTTGGAGATGATGGTGCTTCAATCTGGGATTTTCTGCATGCAGCCGGGGACCTACCCAGCTGCCAACGTATGTGGTGGTGTACAGCCAGTCCCACAAAATTAGAAGAAATGCAGCTTCCCATCCAATTTTCAAAAGAGAGAAGTCCAGGTGGCCAGCACTCTAAATTACTGCTGGACCCTGGCACTGTCAGCCGCCACAAACCGTCAGAAGGAAGGCTGTTGTTCTGATAAGTATTTGTTTGCAATCCAACTAGGAGACACTTAAGTACAGCGCGGCATGTGGGCAAAGGATATGAGCAACAAGCCTATGCCAAGCTAGATCAAACCCTTTTCTGGTATCAGGGAGGGTGAAAAAGGATGAACAGCTGAGATAAAGAAATTTTAGGATCTGAAGTTGTATCAGGAGAAAAATACGCCTCTTTCAAACAGGGGTTACATAAGCCATTTTGAATGTATGGCAATAATATGTGCTTGGATTGTGCAGAAGAGAATCCAAGAAGGCAACAAGAAGCAAATCTCAGTGTTCAAAGTTTCCACTTTTTGGGGGTGGGTGGTGGGTGGGAAACACACTAAGATTTTAGACACTGGTCAGGAATGGAAGGAGACAGAGAATGCTTTTCTTAACTCTGAAGATACAGTGCATGAAACCATATAGGCCTACACGAGGGATGAGGAACCTGTGGATCTCAGGTGTCATTACTGCAGACCCTCCAAGTGTCCCTGATTTAGAGGAGCTGTCCCCGTTTCTGGTTTGATCCCGGAATGTCCCACTTTTCCTTAGGTAAAGGTAAAGGTACCCCTGCCCGTACGGGCCAGTCGTGTCCGTCTCTAGGGTTGCGTGCTCATCTCGCTCTAGAGGCTGTGAGCCAGCGCCGTCCGAAGACACTTCTGGGTCACGTGGCCAGCATGACGAAGCTGCAGCTGGCGAGCCAGCACCAGCGCAGCACACGGAAACGCCGTTTACCTTCCCGCTATAAAGCGGTCCCTATTTATCTACTTGCACTTAAGAGTGCTTTCGAACTGCTAGGTGGGCAGGAGCTGGGACCAAACGACGGGAGCTCACCCCGCCGCAGGGATTCGAACCGCCGACCATACGATCGGCAAGTCCTAGGCACTGAGATTTTACCCACAGCGCCACCCACGTCCCGCCACTTTTCCTTAGAATGTCCCTATTTTCATTGGAGAAATGTTGGAGGGTATGGAGTTATTCGACTCCTGAGCTGTCTGAAGGCAATCCTGTACAGTGGTACCTCGGGTTAAGAACTTAATTCATTCCGGAGGTCCATTCTTAACCTGAAACTGTTCTTAACCCGAAGCACCACTTTAGCTAATGGGGCCTCCTGCTGCTGCTGCGCTGCCGGAGCATGATTTCTGTTCTCATCCTGAAGCAAAGTTCTTAACCCGAGGCACTATTTCTGGGTTAGTGGAGTCTGTGACCTGAAGCGTATGTAACCCGAGGTACCACTGTATAGGGAAGTTTTTTTAAATGTTTAATGTTTGATTATGTTTTTATATGTGTTGGAAGCTGGGACAATCCAGTATGATGTGTGGAGTATAAATAGTAGAATTATCATTATGGAATGGGACATCCCTATTTTCATCAGAGAAATGTTGGAGGCTATGAAGCCAGAGAGCCAACTAATTCTAGTTTTGCCCCCATCCTCCTCCCTGCCTAGTTCTACAAGAGCAACACAGAAACTAAAGCCGCATTCATGCCATATACAGTGGTACCTCAGGTTAAGTACTTAATTCGTTCCGGAGGTCCGTTCTTAACCTGAAACTGTTCTTAACCTGAAGCACCACTCTAGCTAAAGGGGCCTCCTGCTGCCGCCACACCACTGCCGCACGATTTCTGTTCTCATCCTGAAGCAAAGTTCTTAACCTGAGGTACTATTTCTGGGTTAGCGGAGTCTGTAACCTGAAGCGTATGTAACCTGAAGCGTATGTAACCTGAGGTACCACTGTACTTAGAAAGCTCTCCTGTGCTTGCTAGGCATGAGTAAAAGCTGTCTTCTGTTTGCCCCACTGCTTGCCACAAAGCTGCTTTGCAAGTGGTGTATGTGTACGTTCAGTTTTCATTTGAGCTATGGGAGGGGGGATAAGCACCTTCTTTCCTGTCTTAATCCCCTTGCTCACCTGTTATTTACAAGGTGGGTGGAAGGACACTGCTTTTATCCATACACAGATCTCATCAACTGAAGGCCACCGCCAAACAGGTCCTTCTGTTGGACCTTGAGCTCTGCCCACGTCATCCTCCAGCCTGCAAGAGACGACAGGGTGGCAACCACTGGCCCTGGAGGTGACTAAGGCAACAGCTGGCTTCAACCCTGATGGCAACAGGGCTTGCTGAAATGCCTCTTCATGAGCCAAAGCAAGGATAGATTTGCAAGCCAAGCTGCAGGATAAATTTAATAGTCATACTAAAAAACCAGTGCTTTTTAATTTTATTTTTAGAAAAAGAGTTACAGGCACTCACCATTCTTTTTCTTAGAATGGCGATGGGGCCCACCTGAGAGATTCCAGAACCCACCTGAGAGGTGTGGTAACTGAGTTCTGGCAAATTCCCACTGGAAAAAAAGCCCTGCTAACAATGATTTTTGTATGTGCCCTGAAATGCCAGATTCTACAACTACATAGATTATCCTGTTCAAGGACATCTGTGTATTGTTACAGGCTACCCCAGTCTCTGAGTGGTGAGGAGTACTAGGCACTTTCCCAGGGTTCAGTTTCCTTTGAATGACGCAGAAAAGCTCAACAATTTTGGGAAAACAAAACCAAGTTGTGTCTGGATTTCAGTTTTTGAAATAGGGCAACCTTAGTAACCTTGATCATTCTTTGAGGATGTTGATGAGGACACTTAAGATATTTTGTCTTCCAAGTATGACTAGTTCAGCAATTTCCTTCTGTCAGATTTCAACCTCATCACAGGCAAAGAATTGGAATGGGCTCATCTAGACTGACCCCCTCAAACCTACAAAATATTTGTTTATGTCCAGGAGCATCACAACCTTTGGAGGTTCAAACCCCCCTTAGTCTGTTTATTCTTCAGACAGCGGTCAGGAGTGAAGATGGCAGGCCTCTAACCTGTCCCATGAAGCCCAGGCCTCGTTGGCACTTTCTCCCTCAATTTTGTTTTTTAAAAAACATTTATTGGAGGAGGGTAAAAATGGTTTGCAAAAATGACTGCCACGACTCACCTGTTACCTGCTCCTGCCTGGCCTAGCCTTTGTGCCGTTTGCGTCCCATCCTCTATATTGTCTCCTTTTATTGATTTTATTTTATTTTTTAAAAAACAAACAGTAGGGGAGACATGACAAGTGCACAAATGGCAGCTGCAGTTTGCCTGTTACCCACCTGCTTGTGCCTGGTTTGGCGTTAAGGTGTCTCCTGCCTGTTTGGCTACCCTCAGTGTGTTTCTTATTTTGCAGGAGGAAAGAGGTGTTGCTATTCTTAGTGAGGAATAGATCAGGATTGTAAGGATGCAGGTGGTGCTGTGGATTAAACCACAG